GGGAGCGTGCGCCGGGCTGGGCCGGGGGGTTGAGGCTGGGGCTGCAGAGATGGAGCAGAGGGGAGTCAGGTCCCGGCATTTACAGAGGCGGGGGGTACAGGGGGGCTGCAGGGCCGCACATGGGGTGGGGAGGGGGAGAGAAGCTGCTTCCCGTGCCCTTCCCCTCTCCCCGGCAGCCCGGGCAGGCTGAGGGACAGTGGGCTGAGCACTCGGAGGGGTGAGCCGGCAAGCGGGAGGCTGCGGCAGGGGCCAGAGGCGCCGTCCGTCCATCCGTCCGTCGGTCCGTCACCAGGGCAGGCTGTTCCCTTCCCAGTCGAGGAAGGCTCCGGAGGTGTCCTGCGAGAGGCCGGCCAACACGGTCAGGATGCCCCCGCACGCTGTGCTCTGCCATCAGGGGTGCCTGCAGGAGAGGACGCGGCGCAGAGTCACTGCCACGGCCACCACCGGCACGGAAAGCAGCTGGGCTTGAGCGGACTGGAGGGCGCACAGCCCGGGGAGCAGCACCCGGGGTGCTCACGGGGTCATTTTTCCTCCTTGCCGCCCCTCTGCTCTCCGTGCTGGAGTGGGGAGACAGGGCTGGCTCTCCCCTGCACTTGGCACGTTGCAGCTTGCTGCCTGCTCCCTGCCTGCTTGGCCGCGGGAGACGGTCCTGGCAGCCCAGCACGTCCCACAACATCCCCTGCCCTCCCCGAGAGCCGGGGGTACAGCGGGGGTCCTGCTGACCCTCCCCTGCGCAGCCCAGTACCTTCTCCGTCCCCATGTCGGTCTTCACCCAGCCAGGATGGATGGCCGCGCACAAGATGCCCTGGTCTCGCAGCTCTGCAGCCAGGCACCGGGTCACCATGTTCTGGGCAGCCTGGAAGAGGCACTGCCGTGCCAGCGTGACTCGGGGCCTGGGCTGGCATTTGCCAGCCAGAAAAGGGCTGTGGAGGTGGGAAGTGGGCCTCTGCCCCGGGGTGAAGCGTCGGCACAACCGCCTGGAAGGCTCAGCCCCGGGTGCTGCTGGTCTCGTTCTCCGTGCTCACGCTTGGGAGAAGCAGGCAGGGGCTGGGTGGCCTGGGGCAGGTGGGTGCCCCACGGGCTCCCCTCCACGGGCACGGGGCACAGCAGAGCATCCCCCGCACCTCCCCTGGCCCCTCACCTTGCTGGCACGGTACGGGTACGTGGGGGCCTCCGGCACCCCGAGGCACAGCCCGATGGAGCCCAGTTTGGTGGAGACATTGATGACCGCGGCCCTGCTGCAGCTCAGCCCCCGCTTCCCCGCGCCCTTCGCCGCCTTCTCCAGCAGCGGCAGGAACTCCTGGCACAAAGACAGCCACGCTCTGTTAATGCGTGACCAGCCCTGAGCCCGAGGACCGCCCTGGAGGTCTCTGTCGCAGACCATGGGCGAGCAGCAGGACAGACCCCCCGGCAGCAGGGCAGGGGATGGGGAGGATGCCCCAGGGATGGGTCTGGCTCCAGCCTTTCCCTTCCTCGGGGAAGGAGTGAGCTGGCGCAGCCAGCCCGGGACAGGCAGGAGCTCCAGCTGGGGAGGAGCAAAGCATAGGAGATGCTGGGCTGGGCTGAGCCACCTCTCAGCCTCCCTGCTCCTCTGGCAGGCAGGGGAGAGCCACGGTCCTGGCCTTGCCCCCATCATGTGAGAGAGCAAGAACCCATGTGGCTGAGGGCACCTTTGCCGTAGGGAGCATCTCCCCAGGCAGGAGAATCCCAAAAGGTCCACATGTACCTTGGCAACCAGGAGTGGCCTGACCACGTTGGTGGCGAAGGCGGAGAGCATCTCCTGCGAATCCAGGGAGCGCAGCGTGGTGTGCAAGCTGACACCCGCATTGTTGACGAGTAGGTTCAAGCCTTGGTCCTTCAGATGAGACCCCACAGCCCGCACGGCCCCTCGGATGCTGGCCAAGTTCACCACGTCTGCCAGGGCAAAAATCACAGTGGAGGAGAGCTCCAGCGGGTCACGCAGCGTCCGCTGGAAAGCATGCCATGGCTGGAATGGTTCCCGTTAAACCAGCATTATCCAGAAAGGAAGGACCAGGTTTAGCAGGTGAGGGTGTTAAGCACGATGAAACGAGCACTGGTCTGTCCTCACCTCGTGGGTTTGCAGCCTGAGCTGAATTAAACCATGACTCCACTCCCTTCTGGTCACGTGGTGTCTACTGCTGAGAAGAACTTCGCTGTGTTTGCCCTTTGTGTTCAAGGAATTTATGGCTGCACAAGAGATGCTTGGTCCTCGCGCGCTGAGGCTCCCGGTTGTACTCGCACCAGGAGCCAGCACAGTCGGACGCGAACACTTTAAGACACCGTCTCTGGGGAAACAACCACCTAACTACGCTCTTCGAGTCCTTCCGCCTTGCACCGCAGTCACAGGGGCTGTTCACATCGTGGGGGCACGTTCATTTTATTGCTGAATTAGGTGAAGACCTTCTCTGGTTGATCCCGGTTCTGACTGACCACCTGGAGCTATCTTCGCCGTTTTAAACAATTTGTGCTTAAACCGATCTTCCACAGCACAACTTCCCGCAGCTTTGCAGCTGTTTGCATGCAAAGAGCCTTCCCTTTTTCTTTTGTTTAGATTTTTTTTGTTTGCTTCACGTTGTTATCGATGAGGATTTGGAGCTGGCAGTTGAGCTGAGGTGAGTACACGTAAGAAAAGGTTTGGGATATAGCCTGCAAGTATTTGTTTGTAGGCTCTGAATCTGAACCTCCCATCTTTAGAGATGCTCCGGCCAGGCTGTTGGGACAATCCCTCTCAAGCAACCAGAAACAACTGACCCCCCTAAAATTGTGCTAACAGGGGGGCCTTTTTCTTCACTTAAATATTGGTATCTCTCTGAAAATCTGCCATGCTCTAACTGCAGGATTTTTTGGCTCAAGCAGCAGAAGTGGTATTTTTTAAGGCTGTGTCCAGCTTTTGGGTTTGCTTGTTAGGATGTGCATCCCCTACCCGGTGCTCGCCCTGCTGAAGCGGCCGTTGTTTATTTAGAAGGGGTCATCTAAACACCTTCAGGGTCTGAAATGGGCCCGTTAGGCCAACATTACACTTTATATCTTGAATTTCAATATCCCAAGGACACCACCGAGCCCTTCCGAACCACGAATATTCATGCGTAGGGGGATGCTGGGGTGTGCCTCTGCTCCCCGCGCACATTTCTGCACGCATTTTTTGCAGGTGCTAATCTGGGAAGCCTGCTGGGTGGGGGGCTCGCAGAGCTGGGTGGGGGGCTCACAGAGCTAGATTGATTGCTTTTCTGCACCATTTTGGCCATCAAGCTGTGTTTCTGTTCTCACGCTTAGGCAAGAGTGACTTAGCAAAAGTTTCCAAGGCTGAAGGTTCCCTTCCTGGAGTATTTTGTATGCGGATGAGCAACAACCCTTTTTCCTGGCATTTTTAACTAGCCCAGTGGCTTTCTGGTAGTAAGCAAGCATTTGAGCGGCCCAGAGCTTATGCCACCTTGCTTTGTGCAGCGTGGACCTTCGTAGAGGTGTCACGAAAACATATTTGGGGAATTTGGTGAGATAATCTGCTGCGGAGCTGCTGTACATGAGGGAACAGAGCCTTGGGATCCAAGAAGACACGCACAGAGAGCTGCAGGACATATCACAGGGTGCTTTTAGTGACTTCTCTTTGGATAATGATCGAACGGAGTTCAAGGCTCCGTCGCTCCACCACGTGCGTGGGATCTTTCAGTCGCTTTGGAGAATGATTAACTGCTCTCTTTGGATTAGCCGAGCCATTGCTCCAAGGGGCCAGGTGTGTAGGACCAGCACGTTTCTAGTGCTAGGCCAGCCAAATTTGCTGAAGGGACAAGCTCTTGTCTCCTTGGAAGATATAAGAGGATAAGGATGAGGAAGGAAGGAAGAATAAAGGGAAGCGACAGGTCTTAATGCATTTTGGAGTTAATTTTCAACTTTCCTTCCTGAAAAGTGCATTATTCTTACCGGTTTGAAGCCAACCTGGCCTTAACATGGAGAAAAACAGCCTGAAGCAGCTTATCTTTTTAAAAAATACTTTGTTGTCGCTGGATGTTTTGTAGCTTTTTAGCTTATTTTGGGACTTCATTGACAGTCTGGGTCTTGGGGTGTATGTGTTTTTGTAAAGGTTGTTTATTCAGTGGTCGGCCCCTTGAGATGTCCCTTTTATGTTGACCGTGCTTTGGTGAGCAAGGTGACTGTGCTCTTCCCATCACCTACTGCCAGTTGGGGCTCACGGGTAATTTTAAAGATGCTATTTTTTATCACAGAGAAGGTGTTCTACTTTAATAATCTGTTTAGTAAGAGAGAGATTTGCTGCCTTTTTTTGTAAAGCCTGACTCCAGGAACACCTTCTTTACTAAGAAATGCTAAACATTTGCTTGAACTTTTCAGGTGTTTTTAAACAAATAAATAGGTAGGTAGAAACTGACCGTATGGTCTTTGCGTTGCCTTGATTCAGCGCTCTTATTATTGTCTCTAAGGAAATACTCAGAAGTATTTAGAAGCTCTGGCTGCCTCCTGCTTCGCTTCTCACAGCGATGGCAATTCTGGTGCAAACGCTTCCCCCAAACGCTCCTTTTGGGTTTGGATGGGTTTTTTAACCAACCCTTTTTTAAAAAAAAAGTGGCTGTGAGTGGCCCTTGCTCACTCAGACACCGCTGTCTGCCTCCTCAAGACACATCTGTAGGAAACCACGTTCCTCAGCCTGGTGCTCCTCATCTCCCCATGCTTCACCCCAACGCTGTCCTCCCCAGCAAGCCCCCATCCCTGCCCAGCACCCTGGAAGCTTCCTACCTGCCAATAGCCCCACTCTGGCAACACCAAACGCTGCCCTGGCTGCTCTCCCTTTCCTCCCTCAAGTCTCCATGCTGCCCAGGTCTGTCTGCCACCTTCTCCTGCTGCTCCCCAGCGCTGCTGACATCTCCCCACCTTCTCCTGCTGACACTGCTGCATCTGGCTTGCCTCCATGGGTGCAGGGAAAGGACACCTCCCCAGTCCAGGCTATGGACACCCCAAACCGAAGCATGCCTCTGGGTCTGAGCATCAACCCAGGATACCAACACCATCACAAGGACAGACTTCCCGTATGCATCCTTTTAGCCTATTTATTTTCTCTCTTTTTTACCTGAAATGGCGACCATGGCCACCTCCGAGCAGACCCCAAGCCAACCCTCCCACTTAGGAACCACCCGGTAAGTTTGCCTTGCTTTGCTTTGTGAACCTGTGTGTCCCAGCCCAAAGCTCGGGCACTGCATTTAGCATCTTTGCGAGCAGAGCTCATGCCTTTCCCATGAAACTTGCTTGGCTGAGGTGTCCAGACCCACCTCTGCCTGCCTCCAAAGCCGGTTTGACTGCTTCCAGCCAGAGGATCGTTCTGCTTGGAGGCGGAAGCCTGCCCAGATGTGCGCCCACCCCTCCCCACCTGGCAGGGCTGGAGCTGCCTGGTTGCTGGCACCAAGGCAGGCTGCCCGACAGAGCCGCCCTCGGCCCCATCCCCGAAGCGAGCAGAGGGCTAGAAGCAACGCTGGACTCAAGGAGAGAGATTGCTCCATACCTAGCTGGACCAGTTTGATGCTGGGGTGCTGGGCAGCTAATTCTCGCAGGGCCTTGGAAACAAAGTGATGGAGTAAGGGAGGAGGTTAGAAGTCACCAGCGGCATGGCCGGGTCTCCCACCCCTGCTCGAGCTGGGCCAGGGTGGCTTTGATTTTGCTGGGGAAGGCGTGCAGGGCCATTCCCAGGGGACGGCGCAGGGTGGCATTC